AACATTCACCTTTTGTGTGATGTTGTTGACTATTGCAACCTATCCAACCTGCCGCTTGGCATTGTTGCACTCGACCAAGAAAAGGCCTTTGATCGAGTGCACCATGACTACCTATTCAAAACTTTGACTGCATTTGGTTTTGGGCAACAATTTATTAACTATATTAAATTAATTTATACTGGCTCACAGAGCCTAATTCGTATAAATGATTCTCTAACTGCACCGGTATCATTTATGCGAGGTATACGCCAAGGGTGCGCCCTATCTGGACAGTTATTTGCTGTTGCAATCGAACCGTTATTGCACAAAATTAGAACTAAAAGTAACATAAAAGGTATTCAGATTCCTAAATCAAACAGAAAGTGTAATTTAACAGCCTACGCCGATGATGTCAGCTTCTTTATAAGCAAAAATGAAGATTTTTTAAAACTGTCTACGTGGCTTGCTGTTTATGAAAAAGCCAGCAATGCAAAGGTGAATCTTAATAAATCTCGTGGGCTATGGGTCGGATGCTGGAAAAACAGATCTGATTCTCCCTTGGGAATTACGTAGAACAATGTAGGACTGAAGTTTCTTGGTGTCTATATTGGAAATACCAAAGACTATATTGTAAATAACTCGATTGAAATGGTTCAAAAGGTTAAATCAAAGTTGGACTGGTGGCGGCGCTATGCTCGATTTATATCATATCGAGGTCGAATCATCATTATCAACCAACTTCCAGCTACGAAATGCTTTCACAGACTTGTTTGTCTAACTCCACCTACTGCTGTTGTGAAGGAAATCTTCCTCGAGTTTTTTCTGGCAGGGGCGGCATTTGAAACCTGCTGAACGTCTCTATACTCCTCTAAAAGATGGTGGTCAAGGGCTTGTGCATGTGTCAAGCCGTATAAAAGCCTTCGACATACAATATATTCAGATATATCTTTATTCTATGAATATACATCCATGTTTTCCCTTCACCGATTATTTTTTGCAATATTCTAACGATATGAACTATAATAAACAGTTATTTGTCACCTGCTTTCAGTGTTCAATTTCTCAAAGTATTTCAAATTTTTACAGCACACTTTTACTGACATTGCTGTCTTTTAATACTAATCGTACTGGTGTACCACACACAATTATAGACATTTTTAATGAACCACTTTTTTACAATGAACTCATTTGTCATTCTATAAGGAATGAATCCTTTGTCTTTACGCACTTTGTAGATGCAGGGTTGTGTACTATTGGTGACATGATTAATCATGATGAACGTCGCTGGACGACTTGTGCCGATTTACACCAGCTAGTGCCAATCTATTCACTAAGTTCATTGGAGAAAGCACTATACATTCTCAAACAATCTATACCAGAGAATCTCATACAGAAAATAACTGAATATTGGTCAATGGACAACGACTGTTGTGGTAGCTCTAATGTGTCAGACAGCTGTCAGAGCGAAGACACAAACACAGACAGCAGTAAGTTGCAGTTTAGATATTGCGTATAGTAATGGTTTATTTTCGCAACACTTTCGCAACTGCACTCTCATCTACGCAACAACCTTGACACAGTTTGGCGTTATTTACTTTCACTACCAACATCAGTTAAACCGTGTTTTAAATTATGCTATCTCCCTCCCATACTGAAGAGAGAAGGCAGTGATTTACAATGGCGAATCCTCCATGGTGCCTATTCTACTGGTCAATTTATGCTTTCTTGCACTTATGCAGATACGGCTGGTTGCCCTTTCTGCCATACAGTGTCCCCGGTTACAGCCACTTTTTTCAACTAATTCACCGTCTATGTGTAAAGCTTCACTCCACAAATATTAAATACCCTCCCTGGTGGTTTGTGTTGGGCCCTCCAAGTCCAAACAGAGATAGCTATACCACCGAAAATCGAATACATGGGCTTATGAACTTCCTGTTTCTATCTGCTAAAATGGCAATCCATCTGACCAGACGGAACAGGATGAATGGAGATGCGAAAACAGATGTCACTTGTATGTTCAAGGAAAGGCTACGCTGCAGAATAGAAGGTGAATACTGGTACTATAAAATCATAAAGAAACTGGACTGCTTCGAAGATCACTGGTGCATCAACAGCGGATTAGCAGAAGTTAATAACCAAGAACTGATATTCCCTCGAGATATCGTATAAAATATTTTTGTCACTTTCTGAACCACATGTGATGTAATTTAACAGTAATAACAACTTTATGCTTTTAAAATCAAAAACATTATCTAGACATTTACAACATATACCGCCTATATATTGATCTATATAATAAACGATGTAATTCGTTTTAATAAACAATTTGTATTGTAATTTTTAGCAATTGTATATAGTGCATGTAATTTTTATTGAACAATTATATTTAAAACAGAAGTTGCCTAGTCTTGTTGTTAAACATCGTTACAAACGAACATCATTGTATTTACAAACTTAGCACACGCACAGGATATAATATAATGATATTCCAAACATACTGTCAAAATAAAAGAGACAATAACACGTACATTGTACTCTATTTGATCTCCTAATACATGCGTTCATTGTGTTTATTGTAGATTTAATGTCAACACATAAGTACATATTTGCATTATCTTACCCAAATAATTATAAGGTCATCATGTGTCATCATTTGCCATCGGACTTAGGCAAATACAAATATAAATTTTCTAACACCTTTTAGATTGGTAAATATCATTTCATCATCGCTTTTATTAGTTATTCAGTTAATCCATCATGGGTCATCACTTACGTCATTGCGGTTAGTTCCATACCAGTAATATATGTAATACACATTGAGAAAACTGCGTGTATTCATTCGATTTGGAAAGATGAATACGGTCATTTTTACCCTGCTGCTTCTGGTATCAGGTAATGTATTGGGTCAAGAAAAACCTCCACATATCATTTTTATCGTTGTAGATGATCTTGGATGGAATGACGTTGGTTATAATAATCCCGTGTTCAAGACGCCTACGATCGATAGACTTGCCGGTAGCGGAGTAAAACTTCTGAATTACTACGTGGCAAGCCATTGCCTTCCATCAAGGAATATGTTGATGACTGGAAGACATGCTGTGAGTTGAAAATATTATTTTATTTTCGATTATGTGATTCGACTACGACTATACTCAAATTAGCAGACCAGATTAAAAAAGACAAAATCGTTGAACAAAAAAACAACTGCACAGAAATAGATGAAAAATATTGTTGTGATATTCTTCATTACATGATATATACTGATATTACAAAATTTACGCTGCGTTGACGGTGTTGCTTTATTTTTAAATAATGCATATTTTTCTGTATGTATCCCGTACATTTCAATCTGCTCTCGTGATACATGTTGCTGATTTCCAAATAGCATATTGAAATTTTAATTACGAGCACACGACACACATATAGAATTGCATTTGATATTCCTCGTTACTAATGTGGCAATAGGCGGATTAGTACGATAGACTTTGTTTCACTATCGTTTAATAATCTCTATATCTATAATAAAAAAACAGGAAAAGATACAGGATGGAAGACGAAAACCAAATATCAGTTGTATTGTAACTCCTATTCTCATTTACCACATGCTTTTTTTCACTTCAAGATTCAACTAGGAATTCAGCGCCATGGTTTCGGATACCATCCTCGGTCCTTGCCATTGGACGAGACTACTATAGCACAGCCGCTGAAACAAGTTGGCTATTCAACCCACATAATTGGTAAATGGCATTGTGGGTTTTACTCGGATAATTGCTTGCCTCATAACAGAGGATTTGACACATTTTTCGGTGAGCATTTTAAGTATCATTCAAATATCAAATGTCATGCTTTGAATTATTCATAAGTTAATGAGGAAGCATATGATACATTGTTGATTCCAATGCACTAGCACTTTAACCGATTGGTAAATCTTTCAATTTATTTTGAGTATAGTTGAGAAACACTGCCTCGAAAATGAGCGTTGTCGAATATAAAAAAACGCTCTTTTGGCTAATGTACGAGCCCGAAGAAGCAAAGCTTGAACGATTTTTTTCGGCGTTTATATCCGAGTACCCACGTTCTTGTGTTGTTTCCATCACTAAACCAAAGGCCTGAAAAGTGGTTTAAATGAGTAAGAGTGGTATTTTTACGTAAATCAAATCTAGTGCTATGATCGATTAATATATAAATATTAAATATAATTCCTAATTTTCAGTGGCGTATTATTTGTTTACTTATTCAATTATGCAAATAGGTTTCGTTGGAGCAGGCATAGAGCATTATACACACTCCGATCATTTTAATCATATGCACAACCTCAGAAAAAATGATGATTGCATAGCTAAGCAGTATATTGGTAAATATTCCACAACAATTTATGCAAATGAAGGAAAGAATATAATTAATGCCCATGATCAAAACAAAGTAAGTTTATTTTAGGTTAATGACTGATAAGTTTATTATCTTAAAATACCATGATACATTCTAATTGATCACTAATTGATAGATATATACCGTGATTCATATGTTATAAGTGTTTCATCCAGCAAGCAGTTGCAACAAACATTATACTTTGATACTGTTGAGTCAACAAAATGTACAAATTTGCAGTAAACTGATATATTGTAATATCTTCATCTTCATATCACAGCCATTTTTTCTTTACCTGTCATTCTCCGCTGTACACACACCTCTTGAAGTTCCATCCTCGTATTTGAAACAATACGAGTCAACAATATATGACGAGGATAGACGAACATATGCAGCGATGACATCATGTGTAGACGAGGCTATCGCGAATATCACTGAAGCCCTTGAAGAGAAAGACATGTTGAAAAACAGTATAATCGTTTTTACTTCTGGTAATAAGTAATACAAACACATTCATAATATACCTGCTTGTGATAATTTTATTAATGTTTGCTTATAAAATGAACACTGATTTGTTATCACGCCATTATTATGTGTGCCCTTGGAGGCTGTGGTATGTGATATTGTTGAAGAAATGCTTGTTGAACTTCAACCGCCATGGTATTTGAAAAATTGTCGTTAGTATGTAGACGTATAGTACAATGAACACTCTTATCACATGCAATTATTGTTACACAACGAGCTTGTTTACGTTATCACACATATAGGTAATCAGTTGGCAGGATCAGCTGCATGTCATTTAACATAATAATGAAGGTCGAAAATCATTGTTTCTAAATAAATTAAAAATTCATTATCTGACCAGAATCCGTCAGATAATACTATCCAGTTCAATGTTCGTAATTTCAGTTTTAGTGTGTTCCAAATGTTTGCTAACTTAATGTATGCATATATCATTGCAGACAATGGCGGTGCTGTAGAAAGATCGGCTGGCAGCAACTGGCCTCTGAGAGGAGGAAAACATACAATTTGGGAAGGAGGTGTAAAAGCAGTTGGGTTTGTTTATGGTGAATTGCTTCCACATCACTCACGTGGTACTGAGAATACAGGTTTGATGCATATCACAGACTGGTTTCCAACGTTAGTAACATTGGCTGGTGCAAATCCACATGTCGGAAAGAAGCTATACGGAGTTGATCAGTGGAAGATGGTAACGTATGTGCGACACTTACGTATCAATCTTCATTGTGTGAAACCGTGATCTTAGTGTTTCCCGTTGTTGTTGCTGTGCCAGTATTCGGTTGGATAGTATGTTTTTACTAAAATACATGCAAAAAGGTAGTCGTACAATATGAATTGTTTCATTGATATCTTACAGTGGGGAAGGAAAATCTCGGCGCGACGATGTGCTGATTGAACTTGTGAAAGATAATAAAGCGAGTACACGCTATAGAACTGGTATATTTAAAAATCATCCTTTTGACATTACAACACGTGCAGCGATGAAAATGGGAAAATGGAAGTTATTGACTGGTCCAATTGGAGGTGAGCGTTTCTTTATCAATATTACCCGTATACAACAGTTTTTGTGTGAACAAAATATAATTATTTGTTTTTATTCTGTTGTTTTGTGTTTGTTTGTGTATTAGGAGCAAGTGATTGGGTTAAACCCAAAGAGATGAACTCCGAGCATAGTGTAATAGAGGATCCTGATTTCGACGCAACACGTATGGTGCGACTATATAACATAGAAGACGATCCAACTGAAACAACTGACTTATCAGAGATAAATCACCATATTGTAGCTGAAATGCTGGCAAAACTACATAACTTTTCCAAAGAGACCTTGCTTGGCCAGTCACGAATATTTCCGCGTGCTAATTTTGATGGGATGGGAGAATGCATAAGTCCATGGGTATAACGCATGACATCATATACATCAGACATGTAATATAGGTGTAGTAGAAAAATAAATAAAACACAATATGCAATAGCAAACCTATTTTTACTGTCATTTATACAATATATGGTAATGTGTTGTTTGTTTTTTTTCGCAACACATGCTTCATTTTTTTGTTGCCAAACAAAACATAAATCAAACGTAAACCAGCATAATTTTGCATAATTGTCAAATGGTAGCAAACTCTTTTGTTTGTGTTATTATTTATATATTGGGTATGCTATGTAGTGAATTTCTTAAATTGAAATTTTTTGAAAACACATTATGTGAAGAATTGCTGAGCAGAAACAATGTAGCTGATCGTCATCAGAAACTAACAGAAACATATACGTATTTGAAAACAATTGCGCCGAAAAGCTAACCGGGAGTAGTTGGTAGTTCAGAGACGTAATCGTTATTTACTGTAAATTTATGTGTTTAAAAATATTACACATGTTGTCCTCACTTCAAAATCACTTACTTGATTTATAATCAAACACAATAAGTGTTTTTCTTAAAATCGCAAATTAGTAGTTTTTTAAGTAAAACATATTTATTGTTTTTTGATTAAACATTAAAAATGTGTATAAGCTGCCCCCACTTAAAGTGTTAATAATGTGCATAATTGCGAGAAGTGTATATTATGAAAACACTTTTATTGCAACATTTCAGGGATGTATTTGCACATAACACATTACGTGAAGGGTTTCTATTAGAAACACGTTTGGAAAAGTGTTTCTACCAGAAACATGTATAAAAAGTGTTTATTATCACAACACTATTAAAAGTGTTTTACTAGTCACACATTTTGTGAAGTGTTTCCACCAGGAACATGTACAAAATGTGCTTATTATCACAACACTTAAGTGTTTTACAAGGCACAAATTTTTTAAAGAGTTTATGATCACGACACGTAGAAAAATGTCTCAACCGAAGACATGTTTTAATTAAGTATTTATTATCAAAACTCTTTAAAAAGTAATTTCACTAGACACACATTTTGAAAAAAAATATAATATATAGAAATATATATTGAAAAAAAAGTATTTATCATCGCAACACTTTCAAAACAGAGACACATTTTAAAATGTATTTACAGTGATGTTAAAAAATCATTAACACAATCATTTTTGAAACAAAATATGTCAAATGATGCGTTCTATAATCAAGCACTTTGCACTATTGTACAGTAATAATAACAAATCACATAATCAAGTAAGTATTTATTCCCGAATATAAACATTAATAAGATAAGTCCGAGTGTAACATTTAAAAAAAACAGACATATATAAATATATTATCAATCGCACGGAGAAGTGTTGACTTATGTGCAGCTGAATTTGAAATTCAAACCTTGCTTGAAACTGTAGATATAATATCCAATATTTGTGAACATTGACACTTCAAAACAGATGAGTAATGAACTGAAACGAACAATAACATTATTGCACCCTTTCGTCACTGGCATAAATGAAAATGCCCAATCTCTCCCATGTGGTACTGTTGTCTCGAATGAAGTCCCTGTGGACATATCAAATTCCTGGGGGAAATAGTGGGACAAAAGAATATTAATTTCAATTATTGCGACCCCTCTCATACTCAATCTTCGAATCTGTATATATGCACTACATCTATTCTATTTCATTCATCTTTCACTTTTTAATCCGTCAAATGGGTTGATTGCTTATTTTCATCACTTCTAAAATCAACCCTAAAACGGAGAACGTGGTATTTTAAAACTATATTTACCTATTAGTTCTTTTCGCATAAAGGACGAGGTCACTGAACCAATAATAACACATATTAACAAGACAAAATTAATTCCGAATGTTAGCAGTATCATCTAGTCCGCTGCGATCGTTCTCTTAAAATCTGAAAAGCATGATACCATAACAATCCAGTGAGTAATGTTCAATTCATTATCATTAAATAATTCATTAGGCACTGCGATATTTGAATCAGAAATATGCGATGTAAAATAGTATTGTTGTTATAAACTAATGCGCATGTAATGTGAAAACGAAAATATGACCACCCACAATTAAAACGAACTGAACTGCATTTTTCTGTTACATTCTGCAACTATGATTTTATTTGGTAACTCTCGTCTCCTTGGGGTGTCGGCATAGACATTATGCAATATGGAATTCTCCGGTCCTGTAAATGCATGAACTTGAGTTTAATCAGTTCTCGCATATAAAAGAATAAATGGAAGCCGCTGCAAATAACAATGAAGTACACAACTGCCGACGCTGGCTCTATCAATTAACACTTTCCACACGCTTCGTAACGGAGTAACAATATCATCATACCTCCAGGTTTGTTTAGGATAACTTCCGGTTCCCTTCCTTCCTCAGAAAATCAAAAAAGACATCATTTAGTTGTTATTGCTTCTTTAACGAATATGCCACCTGTCCACACACTCCCAGTAGTATAAATCAATCATGAATGAGCGTGCTGACGACACAAGTTACTTGTTACTTGAACACGCAACATACATTAGTGTTCATCGTAAACACCATCGTTTACGAAAGGTATCACAAAATGTGGCAAAGTAGTGGCAAACTAATTTATTATTCAATATTTGTTTTCATATTGTATTTATTCTATTTATTAAATTTCTAAATAACAATTAAATGGTCATATATTAGTAGAAGCTTAGAGAAGCTATTTAAATTAGACGCAAATTAGCACCATATTGGAATTTAACACCGAGGCTCCGCCAATAGAATAAAAGCTGTAAGGAGATTGAATCTACTGATTAGATCACAGGGGATTAACACCTGTCTAGCGCTGCGTCATCCAGCTCACGAACTCGAGCATTGATAACAACACCGTCCATGTTTGATTCCTTCGGTTCTTCAACTTGTGACAGGTATATAGTATGCACACTCGCAAAATACTAAAAGCGACAACTTTTTCGCTACATGCACAGTATGACTTGCTGACAAATGTGACGTGTGTGAGCATTTTTCCAATAAATATGCTGCATACAGTCAATAATAAGTACTGTGTACATTATAGTTGCATACCGTAGACGGCATATAGTGTACTGTATATGAACATTTATCTAATCGGGTGTTTTAGGTTCAAGCATTGCATGTGTATTTATTTTGTAAGGTGCTTCAATATAAAACAGTTTGGAAGAAAGGTGTTTTAATTACTCTTATGAACTTGTGTACATAAACATTTCTAAACATGCATAGACGAGTGTCTTCCTTTTTAACATTACATGTGTGTTTACTTTAGGAAGTGCTTCAAAATAAAACAAATTGGAACAAAGTGTTTTAGTTACTCTCATGGATACAAATGTGTTCTATATATTAACACTTTGCGAAACATTTACAGTCTGGTGTTTTAGGTTGAAACATTGTTGGTGATTTTGCTTTCTGAAGTGTTTGAAATTAAACATTTTTCGAGAAAAATGTTGAAATCACATGTGGAATGTGATTAGGGCTACAACTAAACAGTTAGACTACGAAGAACTTAATTCAACACGTGTCTCGATTTCTAGTTGTACGTAGATTGGGCAGACCATATATGTTAGTGTTTGACAGAAAATTATTTTCTGATGGTAAAACGCACATACTAAACTATCAGATAAGGATTATTTGAATCAAAGTCAACGAACATTGAAATTACGTCATTCATTTCCTGTTTCAATATCACGAAAAACTCTTGCACGTTTTTCTCATATGATATTTCCAGGATGATAATGCAATGTTACCTTGTTGAAAAGCAAAACAAATGAAGTTGCATATTGAAGAAACCAATTACGATAAACTGTCGCATCTGTTTTCATAATGCATTTTTCACTATTACATGCCCAGTGTAAATTAAAAATACTTCAAATTGATCCCAACATTTGTCTCTCTGTTTGTTAGTGCTGTACAGTTGCTCTTACAGGATTCATTTTTGAATTGTGCGAATAACTTGATCGCGTGTTTGCTTCGAACTCATTAAACAATATGCATGACGGTTACGAATACACACAAATTCTGTGCCTGTTTTCTTGTTATATGTACCGTTAAATGTACAGTTTATTAAAAACAGTTAACACGATGAAAGTACATGGTGTCAGGGTACAATAGCGCATATTTTGTTACTGATAAAACAGATGCATACAAAAACGTGTTATACAGGAGATAACATCTTGAATCTTTGATTGACAACATATGTGTGAGTTTCTATTTCATAAAAGCATTGACATTCGAATTTGAACTAATACTGTTCTTCTAATGGCCGATTTCTTCCTTCACTCATATGAGATAAATTTCTACAAAAACTCAATAATATATAATCAATCAATATTGATGATGTACATTCCACCACAAATCCGTCCATCATTAATTATATTTGTATAATACATCGACCTGAACGTTCACGTTTAATAAAACCAACCAAACAATCAAGTACTTCTGCCCCATATTTAGATGTCCTTGAATTTGACTCTACTTGACTGTATAATTTTAATTTTACCTTATTCATTTTTTGTAGAAATATCCCTAATCTAACCTACACATGGTGTATTCGATATATGTCACAGTTCCTGTTTTTATGCCACTAGGTCAATGTTTTTGAGTACATTCAAAAGGTTTTTATAGGCGATATCATGAACTTGTGATAGAATACGACAAATCTCCAAAGCAGATCACTTCTGCGTCTTTTTTTTTCTGATGTTGAAGGTCTTGGTCTGAATCTTTAGGATCATATACAAATCTTTCGAACATTACTTTTGGCGAATAATTCTGGACCGATAATTTCATCTCTCGTTGCACTGAACACTTTGTCCTATATATGTGTGTATGTGTAATTTGTCCTATATACATTATTATTAGGTCAGTGAAATACTTGTACGAATGAAATTTAGATTAATGGATAGGTATGTAGCGCAACTAGACATGGTTGAAACTTTCATCATATTAGAAATGAATATATAAGGTATATATGCAGCTGTAACTACCCACCTACCTAACTACGAC